AGAAGTTTTGTGAACATAGCACAGAGTTCTGGTTAGGGCCTCAGAATTTCTCAATTCTAAGATTAGCAGCTGAATTTTGTATTTGGGGGCAGGCCTTCGCTATTTTCTTGGAGAGACCAATGGGGGAGCATTTTCAGTCATAAAGATGACTGAAAACCAGGTGAATAACCCATATGTAAAGCTTAGGATTAGGAGAGTTGGGTATGTAGTAAGATAAAGGGCTGGCTCTGTGACAGATAGGTTGCAATCCTGAAGGGATACTTATGTTGTTTGTGAGTTTTCTTCATTAGGTAGGACCTGGTGTATCAGGGTAGGAGTGTATCAGGGTTCTCCAGAGAAACAGAACCAATATTGTGTACTTGTGCCTGCGTATGTATGTATATGTGTGTACACATTTTGCGGAGGCAATGTTCCAGTTCGAGCCTTAAAGCTGGAAGCTGCTGTAGAACTAGGAAGAGCTGCTGTGACAGGTCCAAGGCCATCAGGCAGGAAGAGCTGATGTTCCAGTTTGAGGGCTGTCGGGCAGGAGAACTCTGACTCAGGGGAGAGTTAGCCATGTTTTCTATTCAGGCCTGAAAATGATTGGAAGGGGCATCCATATTATGGAGGGCAATCTGCTTTATAGAGTCTACTGATTTAAATGTTAATCTCACCCAAAAACACTCTCACAGAAACACTCAGAATAATGTTTGACCAATATATGGGCACCCAGTAGCCCAGTCAAATTGAGACATAAAATTAACTGTCACAGGGAGTGAAAGTTGTGTATAACCCTATTTCTATTCAGGATGGTAAGCAGGCCCCAGAAACATGGTAGCAGATTGGACATAAGTAGGGAGAGAATCAGCTCCTGTACCAGGCATAGCCAATGGATTCCATGACAATGACACTTGAGATTCAGTTTGTTTTTCTTTTCTATTCTGCATTTTCCATGTGTTATCTTTAAGCCTTAGTATTATAGGTTGGATTATGTTGAGTCCTAAAAAAGATATGTTGAGTCCTAACATCTAGTATCTCAGAATGTCACTTCATTTGGAAACAGGGTCTTTACAGAAGTATTCAAGTTAAAATGAGATCGTTAGAGTGGGCCCTAATCCAATATGTTTTGTGTCCTTGTAAGAGGGGCAATTTGCACTCAGAGACATACATAAAGGGAAGACCACATTAAGAGACACAGAAAGAACACTGCCATCTACAAGTCAAGGAGAAAAGCCTGAGACAGATTCCTCCCTTGTAGCTCACAGAAAAACCAACCCTGCCAACACCTGGATTTCAGATTTCTAGCTTCCAGAACTTTCAGACAATAATATTTTGTTGTTTAAGCCACTGAGTTTGGTAATTCGTTATGGCAGTCTTAGGATAACACAATAGCCTGTGTTAACTATACTTGGGAGAATGAAGGAAGGAGTTGATGCATAGACAGAATATGAAGCTCCAGGGAGAGGGAGAGCAGCACATGAAGGAGAGGTCAAGAGATGCAGAGGCAATTAGGGAAGAAGCCTGGATTGGTGAGCAGTGG